TAGTTGCACATCTCTTTCTTTAAGGAGGGAAACAAAACCAAACTAGATCGGTATCATCAACTATAAATGGCATGCAGGAAGAGTTCTGGAAAATGGAAAATCACAATGTTGCTCAGTGGTGAGAAACTCCCCATCCCTTCCAGCTGAGGACACGTCACTGGAAAAGTCCCAGCCTGGGAAAAAAAAATCCACTGAGTAAACAAATTGCATAGGCAGTGAAAACAGAAAGTGGAGCAAAGTCAAATGATACTTTGGCTTTAAAGGAGTTTATTTTCAGGTTAGCATTTCCTTGAATGGCATCAGCTCAAGTTCAGACAAGAAAAATCTCATTAGAGTGAAAATGGTTGGTAAACTTCACTGCTGATATTAGGCCATTGAAAGAAAGCTTACTTATTAAAAATCTAGGATTTCAACCTGGGAGTTCTTGAATTTTCAGCTACTGAGTGTAGTAAAATGATCCCACTGACAAACCAGATACCCAGGATTGGGCAAGTTTGTGGATATTTTTTCCCCTTAATTTACATGTATTTCTAGACAAAGAAGTCCTTAACTAAACCTTTCTGAACAACTCCCTGGGCATGGCTCTTTGTCTTGCAAACAAGTTCAGTGGTGAGAATTTTTCAAGCTTGTCTATAAAGAAAACAAGGGGAAAACTTCCTCGGTGGCAATCAGAAAAGAAATGCAGTATTGGATAAAATTCTAGGATCCTTACCTCTCTAACTAGCATTCATAAAAACAAAAATACAGACATGAATTATTACCCTTCTCTGATAAAAATCTACTTTCAGCAAAGGTGCTTCATAGTAATTAATCACAGCAGCGTTAACTCAAATTCTGGAAACAATTACAGTGGCAGCACTTTGTAGCTGTAATCAAGGAAAATAATCAAGTTACTTTTCCCTTTGCTTTTCTGCTCCCCCACTTAATGAGTGCTGCTGCATCCTGACCTAAGCACATGATAGTCCAACCCTGCTAGCAAACCTATTCACATTCTCTCAGACTTGGGAAGAGGATCAATTAAGAGTTTTTGGGCAAAGTAGTTATGAGTTCTTTGTTTCTTGTATAGCTTCTAATGTGTATAAATAGTAGAAAGGAATCAGAACTTCAGGAAGTTTTCAAATTTTGATTATCATTTTTCCTGTTTCAAGGTAAGGGTGATGTTACTGCTATCGCAACGGGGCACAAGGATCTTGACTGCTAAGGTGGAAGCTCAGGGCTCAAGTCTATTGATCACATCTCTAGTTTGGGAGCTTCAATAACAGAGAACAACAGTGACAAAAGCTTTCCCGAGGCACTAAGCTGAAGGGGCAAATGTGAAATTCAGTCGTGTTTCAATCCCTGCATCTGACGCAGTTACTACGTTAAGCTTTCTAAAAGAGAAGTGCCATCAATTTTCTATGTGTGCTCTTACACGCACGGCAGGAGGTTCCAGGATGTGGCTAGGCTGGGGACAAGGCCAGAAGTACAGACAATGCTCGGGAAAATGTACTAATTGGACTAATTTATAATTTTTTAAGGAATGTTCTTTGCTCAAAGTAACTTTCAGGCAATAAAACCAGGTTGTGACAGTATTGTAAACATGATCTGCTGTTCTTTAAAAGTTGTTTTTTTCATGACAACACACTAGGGTTGATCAGGACAAGGTAGTGTGGCATCTGACAGCCAGAACCTGTCTTATGTTGGATGACACCTATTGTGAGAGATGTCTTTCTTAACATTATTTTCAGTTTTGGCTAACACAGTTTGCTAGAAGAGTTGATCTCACTCCTCTGGAGAGCTGTTACTAATTTGGAAGCTTTGCAACTTTTTGTCTTTTGGTAGTACAACCATGCTGTTTGGAACCATTTCAAAATAGTTGCATCTGTAGTGCTGAGAGGTTTGTTCTTGGATTCAACTCACATGCTGTTCCTCACACTGGTAACTCAGTCAAGACTTTACTCATGGGAGTAAGTACCACCTAAAAGCTGCACATTGCAGCCAAAAATTTTGTGCATTTTAGATACAAGTCACACACAAAGTTGATGCATTTACTTACTGAACATTTAATGCCGTTAAGCAACACTGGAAAAAAAAGTGAAGTTCATTCTTGCTTTGTTTGACCAGGTTTTTTCCCAGCTGTAGTAAGGTTTTATGTGGTAAGGCTTCTTTAAATAGCACAGCTATAGAAGTGGATCAGAGTCAGGAAATGGAAAACCTCACAAAGGAGAGAAGACTAAAAATGCACTGAATGAAGCAGAACCAACCATACCTTAATCAGAAAAAAGATTCCAGTCAGACCTCACACTTGAAAAAAAATTATCAGGCTAAGCCACTTTCTAATGGAGTGGTGGTTCTCAGAGTAGAGAAGTCATTCTTAGTCCACAAAAAATTCTGCATTTGGCTTTGCTTGGGGCTACGCACATCATTATATTTTGTTAATTTTCTTCCCTGACCTTGCCCATCTTGTTACAATGAAACTTCACTTGGCAGCTGATAAGGAAAGTAACCAATTGTAACACTGAGTGACTAAGCAAGAAAATATATGCAAGCCATTTGAAGGTCCTGGAAAACCCAAACATGGTTTTACGCTGCTCACCCACAGACTAAGCAAAAAAGGCTAAAAGAACTTGTAAGTTTTCACTCTCAATATCCAAAAGCTGGAAGGTGCTAGAATTAACACAGGATGTTCACAAGAAAGCCTGGACTAGGATCAAAAGGGCAGCACAGAGGGTATGGCTGCAGAAGGAGCAGCTTCACCAGAAGTGACAGAGCTGCTCACAGGGATTCACACGGGATTTCAGGGGCAGGGCTGCCACCAGGGCTGCGCTGACACCAACGCTGGCAAGTGTCACCATTCCTGAGTAATGGAGGCTGGTATGGACAGGGGGCTGGAAACCACAGCAGCCATGGGCTTACCAACCCATACCAATTGTGGGCCACAGAACAGGCTGACACTGATTTGGCTGAGCCTGCCCCAGGGATGGCAAAGGCACAAGGCAGACACCAGGGAACAAAAGTCACTTCAACAAGTTCAGTTAAGTCTGCCCTTCAAAAAAGCTGATGTGTTCAGAAAAATATTAAGAAAAACAAACCCAAACAGCGTAATTACTGCTTTCTTCATGCTTGCAATTCACGAGTCAGTCATTCCTTTTTCATCACATGAATGACATCACTGTCAGAAATGATTGCCTGAGGACCTAGACTGAAACCAGCTCTGCAATCACATTAAAAGGTCTCTGTGCAGATGCAGAAGCAGAGCTTAAATTAGCTTTCAAATTATTTTTCCAAATAAGAAATACAATAAGTGAAATACCTCAACAACAACGAATCACTAACAATCAAAAACATAAAAGTAATAACTTTATTCTACAGACTCAACAATTTTAGTAGGGAATTAGCACTGAATGAAGATGACTGCAAATGAAAGACTATCAAAACCCAAGAGTGTACTGAAACACTTTAAAGGCTACACCTTGGCTTGTGTGAGTGAAGAGTAGCTGTACATATGTGGCTATACAAATAAGCTTGCAAGTCTTTCCTGTACATTTCAACAGTGCTCACAAATTGTGCAAGATCAACCTTTGGTGTTCGCTCTTGGCGTAAACCAAACACACTTAGCAAAACTACTGCATCTGCATAATAGACGAGTTCAAACTTTCCCAGGAATAACAAAACTATTAAAAGTGCAGCTGCTGCTGCTGCTGTGGTATTAAGCAATCTTTAGTGTCTTCTAGGCCCATGGGATGCAGCAGCAGTTCAGTTCTTCTTCTTCCCCCTAACTTCTGTTAGGTCTCTGGTCCCCTCCTGGAGCCACAGCTATTCCCCAGCACGCAATAGCAGAGAGAGCCCTACCTGGGCACAGCCCAATTCCAGTCTCATCCCGTTGCTAGGGCTACAAGGCCACACATGAAACACTCCCCTGTGCCGGGGGAAAGACATGGCCACGCCGAGGGGCTCAAAACAGGCCAGAGACTGGCATCGTGCAAAGCAGGGTGGCACGAACATGAATGATTTTGTTATAACTCAGTATTGTCTGTATGCAGAAGCACAGGGTATCACAGTGTCCATCCCTCACCTGGCATTTTGGAGGAGATTATGATGGGGTAGCAGTTCTGCCCATCGTAAACCTGTCTGCTCCTCAACCACAGGCACGGGACTAGAGCAGTACTTCTGGCTACCTTCATTCCAGTGTTTTTATGAGCCCCTGGTCACCAAAAGCACTATTACACTTACATAAGACTATTGATCGTTTTTCTGCTGAAATTTTGTTACAGGGACATCTGCGACCTAAACAGATCGCTAAGAGCATCACCAAAGAGGCTTTTTAATAGGAACATCAGCAAGCAGAGAATTCAGCTTTCAGGTCTCAGAGGAAACACTCCCTGAGATAGCAAAACCACTTCTGCACACTGTGATGCATATACAAAAGCCTCAAGTTACACAAATTATTCCAAAGCAGTCATTTTATGTCAGTCATACACCCACGTAATGTCATCATGTACTTGCATTCCTCATGTAATTAAATATTTTCCCAACTGGAAAGGAAAAAAACCCCAAAAAAACGAAAAAGCAAACTACAAAATAACAGGATCATTTCACAGTGATGCCATTTAAACTTTTACACCGTGAAAATTGTAAATATTAATAGAGGCAAAGCACATTTCATCTGAAAGCTTTTATTTAGGACTTTGCTTATGATTAGTTCTTATCAGAATCTCAATTATCTTCCATGGACTTTATACTCTTCTCAGAAAAAAACTGTCTTTGCTATATGTATTAAACTTACTCTTATCTTAAAATTGTCCTGTACGAAACAGGGTGTTCAGTGAGTTTATTTGCTGTGAAAACATAGGTGAGAATTACTCTTCAGACTCCAAATCAACTACAAATAAGCACAGATGCCTGTAAGCATCAAGCAGGTACTCAAAAGAATTTTGACTTTGATTAAAAAAAAAATTAAGAGCTACTTTTAATCAAGACTCATTAGTTTCTCTTAGCCCTCAATAAATAGAAAGCGTAAGGCATGTGGAATCCAAATTCTTTAATGGAGCTGAAGCTAAAAAGCACCATCTGCCATGTACCCCGCGGTTTTCAACCGGGACTTTCTCCTTCGTCCGCCGCAAAAATCTCCCTTCGTCCGGACCAACACAGGCGATCTGGCCACTGCTGCCGGCAAGTCCCGCACGGGGAGAGCGAGCGAGGATGTGCAGGCGGGAGCCGCGGACACCGCGAGCCGTGGGGCCGCCGGAGCGGCAGCAGCAGCCCCAGGCCCCGCTGCCGGCACGGCGCAGCGGCGGCGGGAGCAGCTACTTGCAGAGCCCCTCCAGCCGCTCCAGCGTGCCCTTCATGTCCCGGATGCGCTTGGCCAGGGCGGGCACGGGCTGCATGGCGCGGTCCAGCTCCTCGCAGCGCGCCACCAGCGCGTACATGGCGCGGATGCTGAGGTCGGCCGCCTCGCCCAGGCTCTCCACGCCGTCGCGGTAGGTCTGGATGCAGCCGACGCTGAGCGCCGTCAGCGCCTGCAGCCCGCAGTGCACGTTCCGCAGCAGCTCGTCCACCTGCGCCGCCACCTGCCCGGCCAGGGCCACCACGTCCTGCAGCGCCCCGGGGTCGATGGCGGGGATGGAGGACCCGCCGCCCCCCGCCGCAGGCTCGCCCCGCGGGGCGCCGCTCAGCCGGATCCGCCGCTCCAGGTTGTTGGCCACGAACTGGGTGAGGCGCCCCTCGCGCAGCACCGTCCCCTCCAGTTCTAGGGCGCTCGCCAGCGTCGCCCGCCGCCCCTCCGACAGCTGCCGGCCCGCCACCGCCGCCCCTCCGCCGCCGGCCAGGCTGAGCGCCTCCAGGCTCCGCTCGTCCCGCCCCCGCCCCTCCGGCGGCGCGGCCGCCGGGCCCGGCTCCTCCATGGCGAGCTACGCGTGCCCGCCCGCTGCCCCCGCCCCCCGGGGGCGCGCCGACGCCTGTTTACGTCTCCCGCGATTGGCTGAGGGGCCCGGGGAGGTGTGGCCTCGGCGGTTCGCGCGGATCCCGATTGGCCGGTGGAGCGCCGCCCGCCCGCCGCGCACTGCGAGCCCGTGACTCGGAGACCGGGGGCGGGCCTGCCCGGATTGGGCGGCCCCCAGGGGAGGCGTGGCCCCGAGTGTTTGTGTCGCTTTCGATTGGCTGGAGCGAGGGCAGAGAGGCCGCCGCTCCGCCGCGATTGGCGGAGCGCGGCGGAGAGGGGCGGTGCTGGCGCCGTCCGCGCGCGGCGGTTGGCGCGGGGGCGGAAGTGGGCGGGGCGCACCCGGGTAACAACACCGGGGAGCTGCTGGTGGCTCGCCTCACTCCCCCGCCATGTTCTCCTAGCGGCGGCTCTGGTTGCGCCACCACTTCCTCACCCCATCACAAAGCCCGGGCAGACCCTGCCCAGCAACCCGACCCGCTCGTCCCTGCTTGGGCTTGACCCCTCTCCCCGGCACAACTCTGGGTACCCACGTCCTACCATGGTTACCACCACGGCGCCGCCGCCCTTCCTGGCTCGGATCTCGGCGGGCACCGAAGACCCGCGGCGGCTGCCGCCCTCCGCCCTGCTCCAGCGCCTCCGGCGCGGGGACAGCAACTGCGAGAACCAGCCCAGCTGCTGCCTGGCGGGCCCGGGGGGCAGCGCCCGCCCCGCGCTGAAGAGGGTGCGGCGGAGGAAGGGAAAGATCCGGCCCGGCCCCGCGGGGCTCCTGCCCAGCCGCTACCAGCAGTACCAGCAGCACCGCGCCGGGCTGGGGAGACGGACGCCGCTGGGAACCGACTTGGTGACGGACGCCGCCCCGGAGGAGCCCCCTGCGCCTGCCCCCTCGAGACCCGCGCCCGGCAAACCCCTCAGGAAGGAGGTAAAGACAAGGCTGCGCAACTTGTCCTCGCTCCAGCCCGCTCCCGGTGCCGGCGAGGCGGCCGCCGGTGCTGCCTTTCCCCCGGGGCGGGGGGAGCGGCGAGCGGGGCGCCCCCTCAGAGCGGCGAGGGGGGCGCGCGCGGGGGGGCGGCAGAGTTTCCGTTACGCTCGGACGGGGCGGGGCGGGGCCGAAGGAGAACCGCGGGCGGCGATTGGCTGCCCGGCGCCCACCAATGGGCGGCCGGCGCTGCGCCCCAGCAACAAGCCGGATTTAGCCCTGGCGCTGGCCGCGCGCCAGCCCCGCCCCGCGCTCGCCGAAGCCGCCGCGGCCGGCCGAGCGGCGGGACGAGCTGTGGGATAAGCGAGACGTGGCGGGGAGAAGGCTTCTCGGTGCCCTTCCCCCTGCCGAGGTGGCCCCCGGCGCTTCAGTAAGTGTCGGGGGCGGTGAGGGAGCGCGGAGGAGAGGCGTCGTGGTTGACTTGATTGTTCTTTGTCTCCGCAGTTCTTAAAAAACAAGATGGGAAAGACAGAGAAGGCGGCCGTCCCCTACGGCCAGCCCGTTCACAGCTTCCACCTGTGTGAACAACCAAAGATGAACAGGCAGAAGAGTAAGTGTAACACGCCAGTGACGAAGATCGCCTCGGCGAAAAAGATAGAGAACTTTTGGCAGGATTCTGTGTCGCCAGAAATAGTTCAGAAGCAGGAAAAAAAGCCACTTAAAAACACAGAAAACTTCAGAAATGCCAAGTCCAAGAAACCTATTGCCCTAAATGAAGTGAGCCAAAAAGAAAATTACGCTGGGGCAAAGTTCAGTGACCCACCATCTCCCAGTGTCCTTCCAAAGCCTCCCAGCCACTGGGTGGGTGGCACAGCTGAACTGTCTGACCAAAACAGGGAGTTGATGGCAGTCCATTTGAAAACTCTCCTAAAAGTTCAAGCGTAGTTTCCAAGATCTCTTGAGTAATTGGCAAAGAAAACTCCATCCAGGAAACTTAAACATGCCTTGTTGCAACAAAAATTGCAAAAGACTGTCAAGTCTTATAATCACATAAAAAAAAATCCTTGTATTATATTTTTTATGGTTGTGTAAATAGTGTACATCTTGTATTATGTGTATATTCTTGTTCATACTTTGAGAGGTACATTTTAGTTTTGTTATGAAAGGATGTATTTTGCACTGCCTGATTGGTAGATGTCTTGTATATAAAATATGGACAATTTTACGTGTGTGCTTGACACATGAAGACTTGACTTGCTTTGCACAAGGTAATGAAAATTTTGGAAGGAGAGTACAGCTTTCTGATTAAGGTTCCAGATCAAATGTGAATGTTCTATTCGTGCACTACTGACAATAGTTTTACATTCTGTCTCCCAATCAAGTATAAACATGGAATTCTCATACAAATGTGAAGTTTTGCCCTCTGCTCTGGAAACTATCTGGAATTCCTGTTCATCTGCTTGTTTTTAAAATTAACTGGAATTTGACTAAAATTCCAACCCACCAATTTGAGCACTGCTGATTTCTTTAAAAATTAAAAAAACAGCCAAAAAAAAACCAAGAAAAAAAAGAAGGAGCAGAGCTTTCTGCCAAAAATTCAATTGGTCACTAAAAAATTAAATAAAACAATTTGGCCTCCCCTTATACCTGTGTCTGTTTTTCTTTGAGTGTGTGTCTCTTAATTCAAGTATGTGAATTTAAATCACTTGATAGCCTTCTAGTGCATTGGTAGAAATACTTTGTCTTTCAGTTGTCTCAGGGAAAATAAGGAGATTAATCAAGCACCAAGAATTCCTTATGTTTTAAAAAAAGAGCCACCTTTGTGACAAGTCATTCTAGGATTGTTTTGTTTGTTGAAAATTGAGAGTTCAATCAAGTTGGGCAGTTAGCCATTGAAATTCACGTGGGAATGCTCCTTAAATGTTCTCATAGTATTAAATGGCTGTTAAATGAGTCAACGCGGAAAAGTAAGCAGTGACAGAAAATGAATGGAGCAAGTAGAATTTTGTATTTTTCACCAGATTAGTCTCTTGCTCATAGCTGTGCTGGAAAACACATCCCCCTGACTTAAAATTCTTAAGGAATCGGACTGTGGATTAGTCTGACAGGCATGTGGAAGAGGTAACAGATTTGCAGTTGTTTTCCTAATCTAGTGTTTAATACTAGGAAGTACGTGACATTTGCATAAGACAGAAAAGCATTTTAAAGTTCTTGGATCCACCAAAAAAACCCCAAAATCCAGTCTCTGTACGCTGGTGTCCTTGGAGAGGAGCGGGAGGTAGGAAGAAGAGAGCTGCTTGTGTCCGGCTGAGGCGGCTCCGGTGCGAGCAGCATCCTCGGGACGCAGACTGAGCAGTTAGGGGTGTTCGTGCTGCACGTGCTGCAGCCTTGGTCCAGTGCAGCGCTGCATTCCACGTGCAGCAATTGGCAGGACTCAGAGGTACAGCCCTGACAGGAGCTTGGTCAGAAGCTTAGAAACTAAGGATTTTTTGGCTTGCTTGTGGATGTTGGTTATGTAATTGTAAAATTAGGCTATTTAGCTATCGATGCTCTAAACTAAGGGTTGATGGAACATTTTTGGTTTGCCCCAAAGAATTAGAGGTTCCCTGTCTCACCAAAGAGACTGCTGGTGGTGTACTCGAGGTCAGTGTGTGGCTTCAACAACCCAGTTTCCTTCCTAATCTAAATACTCTCTAATTTAGTGTCCCCCATCTTCTGTTCTAAAAATGAACAAAACCCCTCCTGGTTTTCTGTTTGTGGGATTTTGTTTAAACATAGACAGTATTACGGCGAAGAAAAATACCACTGGAATCTCGCCGAGGATGACTCAAGGAGACTGTAAGTCCGAGTTTGCTATATTTGGTAAATGCTGTATTGATCTGCCGTTGTGCTTTTCTCCTTTTTTCCCCCCTTTTTTTCTTTTGCCTGAGTGTCACCCAAATGCAAAGCAAAACGCCTTAACAATTACCCATAGCTTTAGGCAATGGTTAATTTTGTCTGGTCGCCGTGAATCTTGCTAACTAGTTTGACAAGAGGGCGTTTCCATGAGCCGGTGGGTTGGCCTTGTTTAGAAGGATGTGTCCTTTATCCCCCTGATTGTTACCTCATTGCCGACAGCCTCTTCTTCCCTTTCGGAGCTTACAGAGTGAATGCTAGCTCTGATCCTGGATGAAATTTATCAAAGTCACATACCTCTTTGTTCCTGCCCTGATTTGCCAACACATCCATTAGGGTTAAGGAATTCATTAAATGTTAATTGCCAATAGTTCTCAGCTCTTCAGTCAATTCTTTGAGAGCTGGTGGTTGAGACTTCTGAAGCGTTGGGAACTTAAAACTTCCCATAACTTGTTGGACCCTAAAGGATAAGATAACAATCTGGTCTTTCTGAACAGTAGCAAAAAACCCGAAGCTTATTTAGCACACGTCTGTGTCAATGATCCCGCAGAAGTGTTGGGGCACTTCATGTTTCTGTCTTGCTGGGATCTTTGGGCTGAGCCCCTTCCTGCACAATGGACAGGTTTGTCTGTTAGGCCTAAGGGCAGCGCGCTCTTGAACATGACCAGCTGTAACTAAGAACGTGGCCATCATTTAGGACCCTATTCTGCACCTTACTTGTCACTTTCCTGCTTTTTATCTTATGTTTCTACAATATCATCTTATAGGGTTTTTCACTCTCAAGATTTCCTTCACTTTTACAGATTCCTTGTCCCAGTTTCCCGAAAAGGAGCCATTCTATTACATGAATGTACTCTTTTTTGAGTGCAGAGCCAGCAAAACATTAGTGTCATATTTGGAGGGCTTGTTTGCAGTGTAATATAAAATTACTGAGTGACATGTAAGGCGTGACCAGCCTTTAAGGAAGAAAATGAACAAAATTAGTGGATGTGTTATCAGCTAGTCATGTATTTGTTGTACAGGAATTAAATAAATAACTTATTAAATCTTCTGAGGTCATTAAGGAAACTGAACATTATCTCCTCAGATAATGGAAATACTTTCTGTTTGAAAGTCTAGTGCAATGCTGTGCAGAACTGCAGGGGAATCTGCTGAGAATTAACTACCACCCTACTTTTAAACAGTTAAATGTTATGCATTGATGGTTCTGAAATTTAGCTCTCATGCAGGACAGAAGTATCTGTTGTTGGGTTCTCATGCGTGGCTAAGGCTCAGCCCATTAAGCAGCTTCATTAATAATGGCTGGCTCAGTGCTCTAAGGCTGACATGTTTCTGCCTCCTAATGCAACAGGAGCTAGAAATTCTATGTGCATTTGAACTCTATTACACCAGGATCTCTTCAGAGATTTTGCTGAATTCTGCTGAATACTTAAGCAATTTGCATATGAGACTGTAAATTTAATTCCATCTGATTAATATTTTATCCAAGGCATGTAATTTTAAATAGTACTTTAATTATTTTCAGATTATTTTTTAAGCTTTTGCATTATAAAACATTTGACAACTGTCACACTTGAGGATTTTTTTTCTTATTTATGCCGTTTTGAAATCAAGTACAAAGCTGTGTAGATTATATAAAGCCTGAAGATTATAGATTATGTTCCATTGTAATTTTGAAAATAAGTTTACCTTTATTTTCTACATAGAGTCATAGAATCGTAGAATGGCT